TTATGGACTTGCGATTGCAGATGGCGATAGTTGGAAACAGTTATCTGTATCATATGCGTAAGGATGTAGTGGAAAATATTCAGCCTGGTGTAGCTCAGGTCAGTTGGCTAATTCTGATTCTCTCCCCCGCTTGATTGTATCTCCTCGTAGAATTTTGCCGAAAACACGCTTGCCCTCCTGCTCCACCTATCATCGCCTCCGATCAATTCTCCCTCAATTTCAAGTTTGACTGGAGGTTTCACTAAACCATCGACGGTGTACTTTGCTTTGTTTGGGAAGTTTTGGATGTATAGCTTTTCGACGGCAAGAATAATTTATGCGATATTGCTGGTGGACGCGGTAATCTTGGTTACTGCAACGTCAAGGTCAACGTCCCGGTTAGGCTCCCTTACTACCCTAGGCAAACCCATTCTCGCAGTCATTTTTGCATTCGTTGGTTCCCTACTAGGTACCAACGTCATTGCTCTTGTGATGAGATTCATACTTGGCAAACCTCTGAGTTGGTTCAGAAGTGAATATTCGGCGATGGTCCTTTATGGTCCCGCGGCAATATTGGGTACGATTGCTTTTGTATCTACCCTGAAGCGGTAACTTTAACATATTCTACCTTTAGGCGCCCTCATTTCTCAATACCCTTTCACCGCAGTAACGGAATTACAAGCATACCAGGCCACTCTCCTCATTCAATCCTTTCTCGCATTCCTCATTCAATTATTCGGTATTGGGTCTGCTGCTCTTTTTTTCCTCAACGCTACGAGTATTTGGGTCGGATTGGCAGTTACTGCGCTTTTGGGTCTTATTAGTGTTCGTACGGAGCGAGTGTCGCTTGTGACATACGCAATATCCTCCTTCATACCCCTTTTCATCGGCACCTCTAGCGCCTATCTCACGCTCGAGGTCTTCGTACCACTCACAGGCCGTATGGGCGCCGATGCACCAGCAGATAACCTGATTGCTACCATCGTATCCATTGTTGGGGCGCTCGGATGTCCGCTTTTCGTCCCTTTTGTTTGGAGGTTCCAAAATTCGAACACCAGGGTGTTGAGTAGAATGATTCTGGCTATGGTTTTGGTGACAGCTATTCCAATTGCGGTGTTCAGTGTCAGGGAACCTTTCGATTCTATGCATCAAAAGCGGGTGTACGTGATGAGGACTGAGAATGTGAGTATATCCTTCCTTCCGTTGCACGTATCTTGAATTATCTCCAGATAACCACTGGAGAGCATCACCTTCACCTGTCAACTTCAGATGGCGCGCCTAATTTTGAACGTTTGGTGTATGAGGTTGCGAAGGAATTCAGTGCTCCTGCCGTAACTGAACCTTCGATATCTGGTAATACTTCAACCGTGGCGGCGGGAATACCAGTCGCGCAACCGGAACCCATTCTTATGGATTGGTACAACTCAGACTGGGATCCTATGTTCCCGTTTTCATTGGTAATTCTTCTTTCGTTGAATGTTTCCTGTCTTTTTTCTAAATTATCTTTGTATTTTTAGTTCCTGACACCATACAAAATCCCGCTGCCTGTCGATTCTAACTATGTTTCTCCATGGTCTCTGAAGTCAGGCCAAAACCATGGATCTGGATTCACAATATCTGCAGTCGACGACGTCGTTGACGTCAAGGCGGGTACGAGGAGCTTAAAGCTGGTTATATGGCATCCGGGATTGATATGGACTGGTAATCTACCTTTTTACCTACCGTGCATTTTTCTGATTTTACGCTCTATTATCTGTAAAGTGATCGCATTTGACGCGCATGTACTCGAGTGGAACTTGGATGATGAACCACCGAATGAATACACACGACACCACGTCAAAGAGGCTTCGTATTATGGATCCGATACGTGGTCTATTGAACTTGTCATCAAAATCCCTTCGCCACCCACTTTCGATTCTGAAGCAACCAACTCCGACTCACACGTTGGAGCCGGAGAGATTCTGGTCAACTTCATTGGGCTTGAAGAGGAGGGGATGTGGCCTGGTAAAAAAGGTATCCTTGAGGACAAGAGTGTGAAGGAACCGGGTCTGGCGTTGAAGCTGTTTTCTACTCTAGATGCATGGATTGAGAAGGAGACCGGGGGTAAGGTTGATGCACTGCTGTTGGGGTGTGTGGCGGGTGTTCAGCGCGTGTAATCAACGTCTAATCGGTAGCATCTGCTTACAAGGAAGCAAAATATTTCGCAATTGATTATATATGCTGTTTATCTACTGGCTGACAAGGAAGATTGCCCTCTCTGACGGTATGAGTGGTAGACACAACAAGCAGCCTGGCTACGAAGAAGATACTTAGTCCATTCTTTTCCGTCGTCGTCGGATTTTTCGGCCTTAACCACTGCATAGTATGCATATGGTTCTTGCCAATAAGGAACGAAAAACAGGCAAAATGCATACGTTTCAAACACATTCGGACTCTGCCGACAATGTCATGATAATTCTAGATTCCCCTCATGACTTCCGGAAGCGGACATAACCCAATAATACCGAACATCTTCCTTCTAGTTCCTTCAATCAGTACCACTTTCTACCACCACGCCGAACTAGGAATTGAGACTCGGCCTTCTCGATGCCAAGACAGTACAATTCCTGTCCTTATCTTCTAACAAACGCAGATAGCTTTGTGCCAGCTGGTCTATTTTCGTTCAATCCGATGACTAGTGAACACGCAAAACTTGGGCGTTCGTACCGGATTTTGTGCTGCAAATGAATGGAAATTATAATAATTGCTCTTATCAGATAACCCCGTCTGCTGTAAGGACACCATTTGTCCAGCAAAGACCCCATCGAAGGCCTGTCCTGGAACAGGTATAAAAGATTGGGGTTGTGTACTATGACGGCGATAGAAGCACGGAGTTTTCGCCCATCCTTTTCCTTAGGTCCCTGCTGAACAGCAATTATCATGATTTACCCATTTGTCATCCTATGTTCGCTTCTTTTCGGTGTTACCGCGTCTCCTCTCGCTCCAACCCAAACACCCGGTCTATCTGTTCCCATTCGAAAATTCGTCAACGTATCGAACGGGCATAATCTTGTCAATGCAGGTCACTCCCGAGCTCAGTCCTTCCGTGATCGTGCTGCGTCAAAGCATGCTTCCTCCACAAAGAGACAGGAAGTGCCTGTCGTGAATGAAATCATCACGTACATCGCAGAGATCACTGTGGGTGTTGATAATCAGACCTGTAAGTAGCCCCCCTACCTCTTGTATACACATGCCGATGCTCCCCCAGTCCATTTGCTTGTTGATACCGGAAGTTCAAACACTTGGGTAAATCTTCTAATATTCCTGTCCCGTCAAAGAATTTGACGTCCGATTTCATTAGATCGGCGCTAATTCGAGCTATGCGTATGTCCCTTCAGCCAGTAGCGTGTGGACAGACGACATTGTCATCGTCGACTATGGCTCCGGATATTTCTTTGGTACCTCGTCTATCATTCTGATGCAAATTCTGATCTGATTTTACGCTGTATTATGATTTTTAACCCAGGGTACGAATACTACGATACAGTAGCGCTCTCAAGCGATCTAGTTATAAAAAATCAGTCAATTGGAGTTGCTGATTTCCAACAAGGTCCTTCTTCATGTTTAGCCTGCCGTTCGTCGTTAACTGTCCATCTAGGATTTACATCTATGGATGGGATTTTGGGGTACTCCTTTCGCCAAATTCATGTACTATACTAGATTCACTGACAAGTAAATAATTCATGGTTCTCAGTATTGGCCCAGTTGCCTTAACTGATGGTACTATCCTTGGAGACCTGGTATGTTTCTTCAAACTCATAGCTGCGGCTGTTGATCATTAATCAAGATCGTCGTGTTTCATTCAGGCCCCAGTGACCACAGTGCCGACAGTGAGCGACAACCTTTTCATTGAAGGAATCATCTCCACTGAAGTTGTTGGCATTGCCTTCGTCCCTACCACCGGCGCCGAGGACGAGCCAGAGGGAGAGTTGATATTTGGTGGTCGGTGTTCTTGATACTAAGGTGCTTCTATTTTTGTTGATAATGACACCCAACTTGGGTATTTTTTTTCGCAGACGTAGAGGGCAGCTCTAAGTACACTGGTCGAATAACTTATACGTGAGTCGTGCTTTACCACTTAAAGGTGAACACTCAGACTTAGACTCTTACTGTAACGTGTTCAGACCGAAGGAGACGGATTACTGGGGAATCACACAGTCTATCTCATACAGTGGTATCGAGATCATGGGGAGCGCAGTGGGCGTTGTGGACACAGGAACGACTTTGAACTATATGCCTACCGACGCCTTCAATGCGTATATAAACTCTACCGGTGGAATATTTGATGAGGTCACAGGACTCTACGAAATCACCGAGGAACAATATGATGCACTCGACGACTTGGTCTTCACCATTGGCGGTGTAAGTTTTGCTGCTTGTGAAGACTGAGATCTTGGACTAACATTTCGATTGAAAGACTGATTTTCCACTGACGTCCAATGCCCAAATTTGGCCTAGGACCTTGAACGGAAATATTGGAGGAGAGGAGGGCAAAATTTATCTTGCTGCAGTTGCTACTGGTTTTTACATTTCGAATTTGTCCTGGTCGAAATGATGAGTGTCTGATAAAATTTACTTTTGTTTTTATTACAGATCCAGTTGAGGACCTCAACTTCATCAATGGCTACGTGTTCCTGGAGAGATATTTCTCGGTTTTTGATAACACCAACTCCAGAGTAGGGTTTGCCGCGACTGCCTATACGAATGCTACAACCAACTAGATGTACAAAAATCATCATTATGCTTGCGTGGATTAATACATAAATCCGTCTGTACTATGTATGGTATACGCGGCGAGGGATGATAATTTTCATACACATATACTGAAGCGAAAGTTGTAGGTTAGCCATGAATTTCCATAAAAATGTTTTCACCAACATCAGTTCCTCGCGATGCCACAACATGAACAATGAATACCTCTTTGGACTCGAAAAAACGAGTATTGCTTGTAAACACAATGAACAACACCACTGCATTTCTAGTTCCTTCTAGCCGACTTGAACGACTGACCTCGTCATAACATAATACACATACTAGTGACGCGCTCTACCAACTGAGCTAAGAAGGACTTCATAGCAAACTTACAAAACACTTTGTTAGGCATATTGCGAAGCGCTAGCGTAAGTTCCGGCGTAAGTTCCGGTAGAGCGAATCCTGGATAAAGAAGAGGGGAGTTCTTGCTTTTCAAAGCTGTACCGATCTTTGTCAATTTCGAGCTGATCACCACTAGTTCCAATAAGTTCCAATTCATGGCACCAGATGGCACCTTCGACGGGTGTTTCTCTCCGGGTAAGTTGCGGAGCTGCGAGTATTTGAGGTCCATTCTAGACGGGTGAATTTACAAGGAATGAACACGGCATGGAAGTCTCACCGGTTAATCAGCGCTTACGCGTCAATCCTCGTCAATCTGAAGGATTATGACACAAGGATAGCCCGATTACAGGCCCAAATTCTGTTTTTTGGACGAAAAAAGGATCGCTCACAAGTCAAAGCGTAATATGCTGTACCAAATAGGGACTATGTGTCCGAGAAGGAACTTACTGAATTATAGTCATTCAAGGCACTTCGGTGATCAAAGACTGTGATCTTTTCGTTAGTGTTACCATTGATTGAGAATGGCTGCCTCAAACTAAAAACAGTCAGCGACGGGCAGAATAACTCTCGGTATTATCACGGTAGATTCTACAGACAAACAAGCAGGCTATGTTGCCTCTACTGCTTCCCCTTCCCCTAGTGTCATCTCATCGAAGCCCTCCAACAACTCATCCAGCTGTATCTCAGGAAAATCCGCCTCTTCCTCTTCCTCTTCTTCAATCTGTCGAATAGTTTCATCGACATCCATCGCAAATTGTGGTTTCTTAGGTCCCCTCTTTGTCTCCGCTTTCATGTTCACATCTGCCGATTTATAGAGATTAACAGCACTTCTCATCTCTGGATCTTCCTCAAGGTCCCGAAGGAAATGTTCGTAGTCCTCTTCAACTTTCTTTTGATCGCGACCACCCAACCGTCCGACGACTCCACGGCCACTGCCCGTCTCACCTTCTTCGCCAGCCTCTTTCCCGATACTCCTAAGCTTCCAACCTCTCGATTTGTTCTTCTTCCGCCGGTTAGGATATGTTTTCTTAACTAGCATGATGTCAGGTATCCGCTCTGCCGGTAGCGAAGCAAAATCATCCGAATTGTAATTGGAGTTCGTAAGAAAGTAGCCTAAAGCAGTGTCCCCTGGTTGAAGAATCCCCCCGAGATGTGTTCGTGTGTGATATATTTGATTTGTAATACCCGCGCTCTCATAGTCCATGGAGTCTTCGTCCTGGCCGGCACCGGATCGAAAAGCCCCTGCCAAAGCGACTTGGGCATCTGCCAAAACGAATTTACCCCGCGATCGACCATCTGCTTCGACATCGAGAACAGTGAATTCGACGAGATCTGTCACGGTGGCTAACGAGTTGAATTCATTCCGCCAATAGATAGCAGATGTTATTTCGCACGTCTGTAGAGTTGCGGGATCCAGTAGTTGGATAGAACTGCCGACACGGGTACAGACGGTAAGGGGACTGATATTTCCAAGCTGCCGGGCTTGTTTTGGAGGTATGCAGACTAAATCATCTTTGCATATGGGCATGATCTCGACAGAATAGGTATATTTGAAGTTGGCGGTATTGCTATGTGTATCTGATGAAAGGAGTTGCTCCGAGGCCTTGGATCTAGAGAGTAATTCAATTTTTGTTAATAAAGGTAGCGAACGAGATTCATACCGGACTGGGACAACACCCGTTAAGAATTCTACCATTTTGATCGCATGACTCCGTTGACTGTAAAAGAAGTCCAGTCCATCCTTAACTTCTTTCACTGAGATCGTGTCTTTTTGTGCACCGTGCTTCAGAATTAGCTGTTCGAGGAATAGAAATGTTCGTTTATGTGGAACCTTTTGTCGAACTTGAACGAGAGCTTTCCAAGTGTTTTTAGCGGCAAGTTTTGCGCAATCGGGGCACTGGCCGTGTTGCACCAAGTATTCTATTTCAAAGGTTTGTTCTAGGATTGTGTTGGTAAGCACCTAATGGTCGATGATGAGTGAGATGCAAGGAAAGAGAGGCAAGAACACGTACTTCTTTCTGGATCGTTAGCGATACCCGCAATCGTTTCGAGTGTGGCTCTGTCCATATGAAATGCGCCTCCGTTAACCGTACTTTGGGTAATCCTTTCAGCTTCTTCAAACACAATGCAAGGAGCTCAGCTGATTCGGGTTTTGCGAGAACCCAAGCTTGCGGAGGCGCAAGAAATCGTTCACAGTTCCTGCAGAATGAGACGGAAGCTAAGGAACAACAATCAGGATTGGATAGTGGAAAAATATCTGCAGTGATATATCGAACCTTGCTTGGGGATTCCTTCTGTGATGTCAACCCTATGGATTGATCAGTATTCCTTCTGCACTCAATCAAATCAAGCCGAGATTACATACGTATTTCGCAAGCAAGCGACACATAAATTGGCAGAGTTGGGTACGATCGGAGTACCTGATAAAAAATTGATAATCGATCAGAAGGGCCCGCATGGAGCAGCACATACCACAATCAGCGCAGAGAACACGATGGACTGCAGGCGCAGGAACAAATTCCATGGCTGTTGGTAACCAAGTTTTCAGACCAAGAGTTTTACTCAGCAAATTTTTGCGGAACCGATTATCACTTTATTTAAGCGCCTTTGGCACGTGGCTCTAAATCGGGCGCTTGATTGGCTTTCTGAATCTCTGTGCAGACGTGTCTGCTTCGTGGCTCATCGGTTTTTTGCACCTGTTATCGAATGCCTGCTTGAGGAGTACTTCGGAAATATGTTCTTGCTCCTGCCCTTTGCTCTTTGCCTCAGCAGGTATGCTGTGGCGAGTCCCCCGGTCAAGGTCTCTCTTAGAACTTCATGGCCTGCGCCGCCATTTCTAGTAGAAATTATGTGCGTACAGCTTGTTCTTATAATGCCTCATCACAAATACTGATGATTCCTCAGTGAAACCGTCGCATTAGAAGACTCCAACGCTTTCTTTCCTTTCCTCGACCGTGTCACAGACCCGGATGTGGTGATCATCACACCACATGAGGCCCCCGAAGCTATCTATTCGTCTTCCTTAGAAGTCGCACAGAATATGGGCTTATTCTCAGAATCAGGGGCCCTGGCCTTCATTGAAATGGGCCTTGCTCTTCACGCTGCCACGCCCAAAATCGAGGCGTTCTATCATCATTACACGGAGACTGTCGAAGAGTCTGCGCGTCGTAAGGAATGTGGGTCATGGGTAGACTGGTATGGGTCTGTGATCTGTGATGTGGAATCGTTGGCACAGCTTGCCGGGCTAGATACGATAGATTCGATGGAAAATTATTCGTGAGTACCAACTACGTTCAGTGTCAACAGTGTGTTGAGGTACCACGTTTAGTTCAAATTATACGAGACCCAAGATTCTACCATTCGACCACATTTATCCTCCTTCAGATAGTCGATTAGAAACTCCACCACGCACCGCGATCCTATACGCCTCCTTGGCCTCTCCGAATTTTCGTGAACTCCATACGTACTTGATGAGGTCGACAAGTCATGCAGAACCTCGTATCGAGTACATCCTTAGACACGTCCCGCCTGAAAATATTGACACATCCAAACGGAGTTATCTTTCCGGATACAGTGTTGCTCTCGACCTGAAAAAGATGGACTACCTCGCTCTGGACGATAGACACCTTGGGACACAACGGGACGATCCCTCCCTCTCAGATGATCAGGAAGTCGAGGCTCCCGTCGTTGATCCCATATTCTCGCTCCTTGACGGTTACCCAGAAAATTCTACCGCGCCTGATGCCAATACCCCTCCTACAGAGAATGAGCTCCATACCATCGGTTTCCAAGCATCCCAACTTATCATGGACTCTTCTAATCCCCTTCTCACCCTCATGCATCTTTCGCAAAACTTTCCGAAATATGTAACGACCCTTGCGCGCCGTGTTTCTGTCAATGAAGACCTTGCACAGGAGGTGCATGAGAACCAATTGCGGGTTCAGGGCGGTGCCAACGCTATGTGGATCAATGGAGTTTCGGTGACAGAAAAAGACCAGAACGCGTTCGGTTTGTCGCGGTTGTTGAAAAAGGAACGGGGTATTATGATGCAGTTAACAGGCTTGGATCTCGAAAGGGGGGAGGCGATAGAACTACTAACTCATCCCATACTTTCTGCTGCTCAAGACAGCAAGGATGTTTTGGATGGGATAGTTGATGCTAGTGACAGAGCTGAAGGTGGAGATGTTATAATATGGTGGAATGATCTCGAGAAGGATAAAAGGTGAGTCGACTCGCTCTAATGAATTGATACTTGATTTCAACGAAAACATAGGTATAATCAGTGGGGTGCCTCAATAACCGGTGTAAGTCGATCGTCTTTCAATGAATTTTCAGAATGCCGACACTATCCCACAAGTTATTGCGACCTCTATACCCTGGACAATTTCACATGTTGAAACTCAACCTGTTCAATGTGGTCCTTGTTCTCGACTTGTCCCGCCCAGCGAACCTAGTATTTGTCGCCGGGACTATGCATAGTATCATCGAGAGAGGATTCCCATTCCACCTTGGTGTTGTGCCCATTGTGGAGACGGAAGACGGTAAACTATGTGCTTTGCTTTATGAACCCGTTTGGTTGACCATCCGCAGGTGCTCGAATGGCGAGATTGGTCTACTTTCTGTTGAACAATTTTGGCCGCAAAATGACCATGAATTTCTTGAAACGAGTACTCAACCTGTCTCTGTTGAAGATTTTGGGAAGCTTACGAGTCCCTTTATCCTTTACATAGGTGGCTCATCCATTCACTATACCTGGTGCTCAGGGTTCTCTCCAATGGTATAATGTTCGCCATGAATACGATGGTCTAATGGCTGCTGAAGCTAATGCTGGTGCAACAACCGACCAAACGTCTGTCGACTTTGAATCCATAGTTTCCGGCACAAATTCCGTATCCAAGTCCTTAGATGGTGTGCAAGCCTATGCCAATCGTTTGAGCGCCACTTTATCTGTGTTCCCTTCCGGGCATGGATTCA